TTAAAATGAAATTTTGTTGCATAGAGCTCTCAAAGGATCACCATGTCCAATATACTTACATAAACATGACAAATATATAAACAAATGAAAAAGATTATGTATATATCCACATATATTATATGATACAGAGAAATAACACAGTCTAGTTAGGATGTATAAATGTACATGGCGAAAAAAATTAAACTGTATTGAAAAACATAGTTTTTAAAGAATGTAGCCTAACAATTCTTAATTCAAAAAGTACTTGAAGATTGTATTTAATTTCTCATACTTTTGATTAGATTTTTTTAAAATAGCCCTGTGGGAATTTAAACTTTTTTTCATAACCATGATATTTTGGTCAATCCCACTATAGATGGCAAAATCTAGCTTCATTCAAGGAAACAAGGTTTTTCCACAAGATTTTATACCTCAAATAATTCAGATGGCCAATTGGTTATTAGAGTTTTCTAAATTTATCTGCAGCTAGTAGCAGTCTGATAGCTCTATTGCCAAGGAATCACTCAAAGCACATAAAAGAACAGATAGACCCAATACACCATCTCTTTTATGATCTTTCACCCCCGCTATCAGCTCTTTATATTTCCACTTTTAACCCTCTTGTCCTCCCCACCTTTTATAAATCTGGAAAAAGATTCACAGCCATAAAGCTATTGCTGGAGTCTTATTAACTAACAGCTTGGCACTTTTACAGCACTAGCATGTATTCAAAATCTTGTTTTTTCTAATCCTTAAGCCTTGATTCTGCACTAAACTATTTATATAGACTAATAGTTTATTCTGCCCACACTTGCTTAAAGACCGCAGTACAGTATGAAGGGGTTCAAAGATATATTTAAATAAGAAATTGATTTTTGGTTGCCATAAAGAAAAAAAAGCTACAATCACATAGGAGCACATAATAACTGATATCAAAGGGCAGAAATTATCCACATCATCAAACTGCAAAAGGAGACTCATGTGCTCTGTAGGATGCATACAGTGCAGATATGTTGCAAATCATATAATAAGTTGCTCATTCCTCATTGGAAAAGCAATTTAAAATGATAAACTGAGAATAGCTACAGCAGATTGCAGCTGCAGTTGGTACTCAAAACCGTACTGCTGCAGCAGGATGCAGGGGAGGCTTATTCACGTTTTAAAAGCAGATTATGACCTTATATGTCTACTGAAATGCACACATGTTGTATTCTATTCAACTGAATTCAGTTTCTGTTGAACATTAAAATAAGAAACCCATGATCCTAGAGTAAAAGGTTTTCAGTTAGTTAAGCATTCTACCGCCCTTCATTAACAAACCAGAATTATTCCAAAATAATCATTTTAGAGTATTAGAATAAGTGCTCTCCCTGGGATCATTTAAACTGAGGTTCTAGGAATCTAAGATTCCATGGCACAACGCTAGTTGAGTGTTTCCTTGTCAAAATTCTGGGAGGAAAATCTTTTCGCCCTTTCTGTAACATTTCATTTGTTACATTTATATCCTGGCTCCTTCTCTACAAGCTTAAGACAGTTACAGATAGATTTTTCTGTATTTCATCTCTACAAAAATACATCTTTGGGAGGTTGGTTTAGTCAATCAGAAAGTTTCTGTGACTGAAGGTAAACATGACTATCTCCATCTTGATCCTTGCCAATCCCTTAACTACAGCACTACACTAGTTTACTACTTATTTACATATGAGGAATAAGTTTCTGAAAATGTTGAAAGACATTACAATTGAGTTTTCTCTTAATTGAAATGGCTGTGCAATTTTATAATTCAGAATGACGAGTAGAAAGACAAAATTTATCAGGTTATATTAAGCAAGATTCAGTCATATTTATATCCTAACATTAATTAGATTTAGAGAAAATCAAGTTCATTTATCAAGATATATTAGGCAGGATTTAGCTATATATTTATATTTTATTTACGTATGCCTCATTTTGTTTGAATTAAAGCATTTCATAGCATCTTGCTTTTATTTTTTTAAAAGAATTTTATTAATTTTCAATAAACAAACATACACAAACAAAACACAAAACATGAAAACATAAAACATCTTTTTGGAAAGCGGCTTAGTCCCGGGGTACATCTTTTAGTACAGACATAAATTCAAATTCATGCTCACTTTTATATACCATTTCATATCTTATTTACCATTCTACATTTTCTATATAGCTTCTCCCCTCTTTTCACTCTCTTAATTCTGTTTTATTTATTTCATCTCAATTTAAATCATTATACTTACATCCTTTGTCTGTTCTGTTTCAGCTGTCTATTATCTTTTCTCATTAACACAAAATTTCTCCTGTAATCACTGACTGGAGTATGATGCCTTTATATCTTTCCCCTAAATTTAACACTTAAAATAATACATAATTTTCATTCAGATTCTGCATAGTACATTCTAAAGCTACATATTATATTTTAAAATAAGAAAAAATTATAAGTTTATAATATAATTAAAACAATAATCCATAGCAATTAAACTCTATCTTTAAAATTAATATTCATTTAAGTCTTAAACATTTTACACATTCCTTTTCAAATAGATATCATGCTTCTATGGGCACCCTTATAAATTTTACTTAATTACTTCCTCCCCGTTTCACTTATATTTTAAAGTATTATGAAATTAAAATGTTCCCATTACTTTTTAGTGCAATTCTCTCATATTTCATTTCATTTATTTTATTCCAAAAAAATAGAAGAAAATTTCACTAAATTACATTAAATATTTTATCCCATTTTATAATCATATATTCTGGTTTGCAGGGCTTTGGCGGCAGCAGGAATCCACGATCGTGCGTGGTTTCTGCTTGCGCTCGCCGCTGGAGTGCCCCAATCCAGCTGGATTCGGGGCTATAGTTACCTCGTAGAGGTAACTGAAGATAGGGGAGATCCGGCAGGGGTCGGGAGGAATTGCAACCCCCGCTTCTCAGCCAGCTTAACTCCCTTTTCCAAAAGCGGTGGAGCGGCGGTCAGAAATGGCCGCCACAAAGAAGCTCTCATCTGGAAAAGAATGTGCAGGAGGAAGCTGAGAAAGTAAAAGTTTTTGGCTGACGGGGATAACTAGCAACATTTAAAATATCCTGGAATTTAAATTTCATCAAAGATACATCGCTCCCAAAGAAGATCTGGAAGCAGCGAATGAAAGTGAAAAGGGAAAGTTTTTTTTCTCCCTCTCCTTCCTTACGATGACAGCAGATGAATGAGAAATTGGAAAAACCCGCTTTGGCATCAGCAGGTAATTAAACTGGAAAATTAAGCCAAGGGGACAATAAAGATTTCTGAACATTGGGGGAAAAAAATCTTTTTTTTTTTGCTGTAAGTGGGAAGGGAGAGGAAAAGAATTAAGATTAAGATTTTGCTGGAGGAGGCTGCTTGGGGTTTACAAGACTAGAGCTAAATTGTAACAAGACTTCTAAAAGATACATTTTAATTGGAACTTTGCAATTGTAATCCCAGGAAGAGAAAGTGTAAAAAGAAGAAAGTGTTAAACGAAACAGTCTGTGTGTATTTGGATTGCTTGGTGACTTTGGGACCTTTGGAAACTATTATTTGAAAGACCAAAAACATTTGGGTTGTTTAAAAAATTTTCTACAGTGGCATTACTTGTTGATGAACTGAAAATGGAATTCAAAAAGTATAAAGAATAGGAACAAGAAGGGAAGGGCTGTTTTGGCTGCGTTTTTCATTTCTTAGAAATGGTGATTTCTACTTATGAGAAATTACAAGAACAAGAAGATTGGGATGAAGAAGAAGCCATCTTTAATGAACAAGCAACTCTAGCTGGGGAAGAAAAGGGAAAGGGGGAAAGAGAATGGAGAATTTAAGATTTAAAAAAACAACCAAAAAAGGGAAAAATAAGGTCAAAAGTTGACACAATGTCAGAAAGCAACAGAAAAGAGGAATACAGAAGAGGGTGGAGATCAAGAGACAAAGGGGTAAAAAGGTTAGACTGGAGAAGCAAAGAGGGAAAAAAAGGGAAGAGAAGCTACAAAGGTTTGAAACAAGATGTAAAGAAACAGGATTTATTTAGAGATAATGGGTAAAAATATAACTAAAAAAGAGATTCTGCAAAAGTGCATATTGCTTTATTTTTAATTTGATAATTTAAATGTCTCATACACCTTCACTATAGTAAGTTAACATAATACCCATTAGTTTAAATGTGCAAGTGTAAGTAATATTAACAGTGGTGAAATTTTGATTAGGCCAGAAAAGTTCTTTATTTTTTAATTTGAAAGTCTCACAAAACAATTTATACAACAGTAAATGCCAGGGAGACTCCGCCCTCAAGCTCAGATTAAACAGATAGATAATTATTTATTCAGAAAATAACCCCAAACTCTGTGTATGAAAGTTCACTGAGACACAGTTCCAAGGAAAGGTACATCAGATTTAATCTTATTTAACTTAATCTTAACTTAACCTTAGTTAAAGAGATTACGCATCTTTTTGGAATGGAAATCTAAAGGTTATTACAATGCATGAATGCAAATAGACAAGTCCATTCCAGAAGTGTTATTTCCAGTCACCTTGATACAATTATAGTGATGCCTTCAATTAAACAGAAAATTCCATTTGGGGATTCATGAGAAAGAAAACATACTAGAAAAAGTGGTTAGATGCAAATAGACCACACTGGTAGTTCCAGTCATGGTGTCTGAGTAACTTTTCCTTCTTTTCCCCTTTGAAAAGAAAGTGGGCAAAACGATAGTTTTGAAGATTTAGCATAATTCCAGGCTACATGTTTAAATTGCAATACCAAACTAGAATTTATTCCATATTCACAAATATTGAAAGATAATTGATTCAATGCAGAAGAAAGCAGAGTTGGTATAGGAGTTTAAAATTTATGCAATTAATAAATCACTATTGGAAAATAAATTAAAATATAGGTTATATGATTTAATTATAGAATAGCAAAGGAAAGCAGTAGCAGGACCTCAGTGCATTTACACAGCACATAAGAGAATAAAACAACTACAGCCATCTTGTTTTGTATTACCTTTACTGAAGAAGCAGCATACAACATATCTTCCAGTGCAAAATGGCAACATTGGTTTAAGTATTCCTGACAAAATTCCTGGATCAATTGCAGATTGTACAAACTGTCAGCCAGTGACATGGTTTCCTTCAAACAGATATCTATATGATGGAGAGGGGAAAAAAACAATAGTGGCTCTACAATTCCCAGTATTCAGAAACAAACTGAAAACCATAATTTCCAATATGCTATGTAGGATGTTACCTAGTTTGGGTAATGAAACGTCTACAAGAAAACAACCAAGCTCAGAAAGCACCAAGGACTCCTCGTATAGGCTTTTATTCACAGCAATGCCAATTCATAGTTAGGTAACCTTCTTTAAACTAGTGATTTTGTAAACAATCAAACTACTAGACACAGAAAATAAAACAATGGACCAGAATTTTGTAGAATTATATTTTTGGGTTTTTTGCTGCTTTCCAGTCAGCTTTTGTCTCCTGGTTATTGCCTGGACAAGAATTTTAAATTTTCTTGGCAAAGTTTTCAAAGTGGTTTGCTATTGCCTGCTTCTTCTTAGGGCTGAAAGACAGGGACTGGTTCAAGGTCAGCAGCTGTGTACGTGCTTAAGATGGAATTAAAACTCAAAGCCTCCCAGTTTATAGCCTGTGCCTTAACTACACCAAACTGGCTCATTACACATTAACAAATATCAATGCTTTGGAATGATGGCACCTAATACTAAAACATACTTCATAAACACGCCATGTGTTTTTGCATTCACTTTCACTTCTGTAAATAAATACTGTGGTTAAAACCTGAAAAGGGATACTTTTATATGGCATGGCCAACCATTAGGGTTAACTGGGTGCATCTAAAAAGGGATTCTAAACTAATAGCAAAATCTGGTTTGAAGTCAATTTGCCAGGACAGTTAATCATAATCCTTGATTCCTATTAAGCAGTTACCTTTTTGATTTTTTTTTACATGTCTCTGTGAAAGCAGGAACAAGTGAGTGATATACTGTGCAATCATTCACATGTTAATTTCATTAAATTGCTGACTTTTGACAAGCGAAAACCCACTTAGTAGTAATTATTTACTCCTAAGCAACCATGAGATAGTGAAGAGGCAATCAGCTTTATTTCTATAATTATACTTTGGGTTGGTTTTTTTTTACATAATTTTAAAGTGCTATTAATATTGTCTATTTTTTAAAAAAAATGTTTTTTAACCATGCTTGCAGTTTATTTGTTTCTTTCATAATTGAAGAAAAATGTAAAGCTGTGATTAATTCAAAACAGCAATGATCATGCTGAAGGAATGGGAAAGACACAGGGGGGCTATAAGCCAGAGATTCATGAAAAGTTTGTTGCCATTTTGTTAAGCAATTATTTATTGTCACACCCAAATAAAAGCCAATTTTCAAATCTATTTAGTGATTTCAAATGTTAGTTTATTAAACCTGCTCCCACAATAAAAAATGACCCACAGAAAAAAATAATTCAATTTGTATTTTATTTAAATTAATAGTTAAACTTTCAGTTGAAGCACACTTGTTTGGTGAGGACACCTGTTCCCACTTTCATAAAACCACAAAGTTCATTATGTTGGGAACTTTTCTACTAAAGCCAAACAAGGATAGCAGAAATATTCTGGTTTGCATTAAACCATTATTCTGTTATGCCTGAGCCAATGAACACTGGCTTAATATCAATGAACAAATTGGAAAAATTAGTCAAGATTCAGTTAAAATAAGAAGCTAGTCTAAGGCCTGATTAACAGGCTTATCGTAATCAAGCAGACTTACCCTCTAATCTAACAATCTCTGGGCAGTAAAAATGGATCAGAGCAGCTAAAGCACATCCATCTCTGCCATCTTTCAGCAGATTTTCCACCAAGGGAACACAGGGCAGCTGCTTAAGCAGAGTCTGTTCCTTCCGGTATCGAGCCTGTCATATAAAAAGAAGAAAACCATCCAGAAACATTTGTACAAAGAGTGATATGCTGGAAACTCTTTAACTATAAATATCTACAAAGAAACAAGTTCAAAATGTTCAAACCACACCTCATTTTCTTAATTTATGTAGATTTAAACAGTTCCATTTGTAGGCGTGCAGTCTTTAATCAAGTTTCTCCAACACCCACACAATCTTTCTAGGCCATTAATGTTCATGCTTAAGGAGTTAAGAGATCAGAGCAACAGAAATGAGCAATGGCATATAAAACAGGCAGATTACAATTAGGCTCATACAACATGGATTACAAACCACAGTGCTTGCTTTACATTTTGAATAAAGCCATAAACAAAGCACATTATAGATGAGTATTAATGCATGGATCCTATTTCCTTATTGGAGAACTCAAGTTCAGCCATACTTTTTAGAACACAAAACAGCTTCAAGGTCATTTGTAGTAAGATGAATTAGTGCCCTGAATGGACCTATTATAAAATGAAACCCTTGGTAAAGCTTTGGTTTGTGAAGTTTGGAAGAAAATACCTTAAGATTATGATATTCCAATATTTGTATTTTCTGTCCAGTGAGATGAAAAGTATACTGTAGCTTTAGTTTCCCTCTTATGTATTTTGCAGCTGATTAATTCCAATCTGAACTAAATAAACTAGTTCCAAGCAATAGTTAATAGATTTAGTTGGTATCAAGGAACCCACAATTAACCTCACAAATAGGACTTACATTTTGCAGTATATTAAATCATAATGTGATTTAGTTTTGTTCTAGCATTATCTGGGAATATCTCTGTGCTTTGTAAGTCACTGGCAATGGTTTAACATTATGTATTAACTAAGCTACTACCAGTCAATCAGTCATTCTCAACATAACCTGCCAAGATTTGTTCCTTTTCTGAAACAATATTAACTGAATTTATTAAGGCACTTAAAAAAGTCATAACTAAGAAATGTAAGCCAGTGGTTTTTCTGTCTTTCAGTTCTTAATTATATATTCCCAGTTGAGTCTGAGTTTTTTTTGACAACTATTCACTATTATTTGGAAGTATGACAATTTATGCATTTGGGCAAATTTTAATTTGAATCCCAGCTCTCTTTGGATTCCGAAAGTTAATGTATCAAACATTGCCCCAAACCCACCAGCTGTGTTTTTGTTTCACCTTAGGTAGAATTAACTAGTGTTTAATATATAATTTATATAAGTTTATTTTTCTTGTAGTACCAAGCTCTGAGGCCTTTTCATATTGGCTGAGCTATTGGTATGCTTTTAAATTCTCCTACAGAAGCCCATGTTCCTTCCTCCAAGATGTCAGTTCTACTTTTTAAACTGCCCATCACCCTGTAATTTCGTTTTGTTTCTTTTTTACTTCAAAGACTTCATTTCTGTTTACGCTGAATTAAGAAGCAATAATGAATGAAAAGAAAACATGCCTAAGCTGTTTTAGATTACAGAAGGGGAAAATAATTCATATAAGCATCAGAGATCCATCCATCTTGTATATTCATCACAATAATTGAGCATTACACATGATGTTCAATATTCCCTCTTTCCCCTCTTTTTCTAAGGAGAGGATTTGTTGTGGACATAATAATATTAACTTCTACAGAGATTCTCAAAGCTTGCAATGCTATGATTACCTGGAATAACAAACATGTGTGACCTTCCTATAAATAATGAAACTGATAGTGATAGAAGCAGCCAAACACAGGAATTTTAGCACCAGCTACCACAGGGCAAGTTGGGTTCTTGGATCACTTCCTGACTATGAGAAAATTATCTTATCTGGGCACAGTCCTCTCTTTCCTATTAGCTATGTACTACACAAAGGGTTCCTTCCTTTCTCCAGAAAACAAAGCTTTTCAGATGCTATTGCTCCTCTCTGCACATCTTCCAACACTCCAGGCTATCAGAATCACCCTGACACGCACAACTCCTTTAAAGAGATATTTCATTCCCTCTAGTTTCATATTATGTCTTCCAAATTTTTTTCAAAATCCTCAAGATGCATATGTATATGTAATGTATATACTATGCATTCTTCTTTGTATGTGTCTCGGTGTGTATATGGGTATCCCATAAATACATACCAAAATAACATAGCATTTCATCTTTTATAATTACTTTTATGTTTCTGATATCTTAGAACAATTTATCCTTCCTCCAAAAATTTCTCCTCCCTAGTAAAATAAATGTGTCGAATGTGTAGATTTCTGCATTTTCAAAATTGATACTATAACCACCACAATGTTAGGATTAAAGAAATAACATGAATTTAGATCTACTGCCAAGTTTGTTTGGAAGTGAAAATTTTTGTTGTTAAAAATGTATTTAATTATGTTTAAATGTAATAAATAAGCAATTGTAACTATATACATATACATACATACACATATATACATATATATGATAAAACTAAAATGAGTGTTCACAATCCTGATGTATACCCATTATATCTATGCCGATGTGGATAAGGGTTCTCAACTGTTTAGAGCTGTTCCATTATCTGTTCCTCTTTTGTAAGTCATTTACTCCTTACTGCTAAAAATTGTGAAATGGACACTGCAATGGTATTTGTCCAGCTGGAACTATAATGGGGAAAGGTGGATGATGGGACCAACACTATTTCAGAGTATGTTAAATTACTGCTGCTGTTTCCTTTGCCAGGGGTGTGTGTGTGTGTGTGTGTGTGTGTTACTTAAAAGGCATTGAGTGGGGAAGAGGTAGAAATGAAATGCATGATTGGACTATCATGATATTGGCAAAGCAACTGATACAATATTAAACTACTGAATCAAAGTAAAGCAACATGACAAACTTACAGGAACCAGTTTCCAAAACCACTTGGAAGGAGACTTCAAGGAAAGCAGCAGGAAAAAACAACAGGCAAAGAACATGAACATGGTGACTGTAATTTAGCAATTCCACCATTACATTTTTTTAAGCCATTTTCAGATTCATGAAAAATTAATTTTACTTAATTGTCTTGAAATACACATTTATTTATTGCAAATAGCATTGTTAAAAGTATCCATGTGAAAACAACAAGTTATTATTTGTCAGTTCAACACATAGCAGCAGAAAAACTCTCATTCTGAGATAAATTAATAAATACACGTAATCAGTACCTTTTATCTCAAAAAAGTAGTAATGAATTTATCTCAAATTTATCTCAAAAAAGTAGTAATGAAGTAGTAATGAATTTCGCACTAGCATTTTGGTAATGAACAAAAGAAGAAAAAATTATATTCTGGGAAAATACAGGGAATACAGAGACTAGCACTTAAGCTAAACTATAAGCACAAATAATGGTTATTAAGTGCCCAGCTACTGATAGGGATGTATTCTGAATTCCCATGCTAAAAGCCAAATGCAAAATTTTATTTCTTACCTAGGCAGATTTTCCTGAGTGAATTTCATTCTTTGGAAGATTGTCTACTAAGCAATATTTTTTTTTCTGATTGCTGTTTAAACATGTTCTTTTCTTTCATGAATATTGTTGTAATCCATTTTAAAGTTACTAATATTTAATTCTCAATCATTGGAAGCTATTTTAAGAACTTTTGTTGTCAGTGAGTATAATTCCATGTTAAAAATAATTTTAATCATAATTTTAAGTGTTAAAATTCTGAGTGTTCTTTTCCCTAGGGTGACAAAGGGAAAATATTATTAATTAATTTCTGAGCTAGTTTTATATCAGATTTGATTTGGCTTACCTCCTGCTTTTCGAGTCTTAAACCATTTGGCAGACTATGAAAGAGCTAAGCTTCCTTCGTAACTTTTAGGATTATATTGCTGTCAATAATTTTTTTAATTTTATTCAGAAAGTTAAAATACAATATTAGTTAAGTTAAAATACACAAAAAAGGATTATATTATTGTAACAAAGCTGCTTGCTAGCAAGTGTTAACTGCCAGGAAGATGTGCTCAATGTAAACTCATAAAACATTTCTATGGCCGTTTTATAGTTACCAACAGAAAGGGAGGGGAGAAAGGGTCCTTCCCCATGCAGCTGAAGTAGGGGAACCCCAGACAATGGTGATCAGTCACCGGATTCTTATGACAGTGAGGACGAGGGCGAAAACGACCCAACGGTGAGTGGACCGGTTCCCCCTTTCACCTTCCCAATTTGGTTCACAGCCCCAAAAACAGGAATTCAGGGGACTTAGTTGTCACTGTAAGGGTTGTCCCGGGTGGGGTTTCATTCCTGGACCCCCTGCCTTTAGGAGGTCCGTCATGGGTTTGGCAATCCTCACAAAGGAGGGGATGAATTGTCAGTAGAAGTTTGCAAATCCAAAAAGCTTTGTAGCTGTCTGAGGGTACAAGAGGGTTGCCAGCCCAAAACAGCTTCACCTTGGTTGCAAACAGGTTTCCAGCTGCTAATTTTAACCTAAAAACTCTACCTGGTTTAGCATCCAGATATCTTCCTGACTGCTTTTGCCAATTTGAAGTGTATTCTTCATGAGAGAAGGTGTTAGGTATCCCCATGTTGTTATAAGATGAGGGAGAGCGAGTCAACAATTAAATGATTTTTTTTACCATGGTCATAGAATGTCTCTCTTTGGATATTATGGTAGTACCCCCTTTATAATGGGCCTCCCGCAAAGCAGAGAAGACTGATCTCTTCTGGAGGGTGGTTTGGTGTTAAGTGCCAGCTTGTAGCCATAGAGTATGAATTATTGTGGTTCTATTATGAGACTCTCTTTATTTAATAAGGCTACTTAACAAGGCTACTCTGGAGGCCATTTGCTGTGGATCTATTAGTTTTCACTATTAGTGTTTACATTGTTTACCATGAAATGTTATTGGTTTGAACTGTTATGTTCTACCACAGTCATTTTAATTGTTTTAATTGGGGGTGGGTGGGTAAGTTTCCATGAGTCTAAATGGATTTGGCACCATACAAGCTCAATAGATAAATAATAAAATAAATATAATGCTATTAAAACACTTCACAAGCATTACCTCACAATCTTCAATTCCATACAATTATTATTCTGTACTGTAGAAATGGGTCATTAAATCTGTCTGTCTATCTGTCTGTCTGTCTTTCCTTCCATCCATCCATCCATCCATCCATCCATCCATCCATCCATCCATCCATCCATCTGTCCAATTTTAAGGCTTAACATGTTTCTACATCTTATTAAGCAATAATAATAATAATAATAACCAATATTGGCAATGTAGAGAGGTTATGCTTACTTGAAACTAATGTGCATTTTTGGTAAAATATCTGTTTTTAAAATGCTGCAGAAATAACAGCTCTACAGTTCTTTCTAGGCCGAAGAACGTGGGGAGAAAAACTCAACCCTTACCCTTGTTAAATCTAGAGTGTGATCCTCTAAGCATAACAGCAGAGAAGTGAAGTGGGGGAAGGCAGGGACCTATAAACTGGAGTAATTTAATTCACTGATGCTCCTAAATCTGACTGTTTGTGAGTCATTAATTATAGTCTTCAATGAAGCAAATAATTTAGTTCCATTCTTCATAATGAAAACAAACTTGGGGGCTGGGGCAGAAAAGGGTCAAAACAGGAGACCAGAGTCATTAGAAGTGACAGGGCAATTATCGAGCTATGTCAGCTACTTTAGCAAAACTGATGCGGAACCTACTTGTGACAGTTGCATAGCTAGGAATGGCTCAATTTAGCAGGCAGGCAGGAAGTAAAAGAAGTAGAGCTTGTTTAGCCAAGCACCAAGAAAAATGAAATGAAATGGAGGGCGAGGGGGAGAGATTCCTCTTGAGGCTAAGGAGCTACTGGACCTCAACAACAAAGTTTACATTTGAAAATTATATTCATGACTGAGCAAAGGACTGACACTCTGCACATATGGGATGTGACTAAAATAGCAATCAGTAGAATAAGCCAACCATGTCATACTATTATCAAGAAATAATGTAAGAAACTGCATGGGAGATAATAAAAGTTGTTTGCATTTATAATGACCGTGGGTAGCTCCACATTAAGATCATACCAGAATGATTATGTCTCAGCTTGTTAAGTCATCACATACACATACCAGAAATGGTATTCAGCAGGTTCTGACCAGTTCTGGAGAACCGGTAGCAGATTTTTTGAGTAGTTCAGAGAACCGGCAGATACTACCTCTGACTGGAGATTTTACAGTACCCTTCCCCTGCCACACCCACCAAGCCATTCCCACAGAACCGGTAGTGAAAAATTTGAATCCCACCACTGACACATACACACGTGTCTTTACCTGATCTGTGTAGCCTGTTTGATTTATCTGATCAGTGAAACTATTGTTATCAGATTTAGAGCAAGCTAGAATATTAAATCACAGTTCAAAATCCTAGCTTATTCTATATCTAGTAGGCATGGTTCCTGGTGAGATGAAATGAGAAGGTATTGTTAGTCAGAAGTTTCATGGTTTAACTACAACTTATGTGAAGGAAAGTATTCATAAAGTGATACAGAGAAGAATATTAGTAATCTTTTTGTTTATTGAAGTGAAATACAATTATTTAAAATGTCTGTGTCTTTCCCACAACAACATTTTAAAAATAAAAAGGGCGTTGGTACTTACCTGATACACCCGTTCTCGGTGAGCTACGATGAGCATCCAGAGAGTGGGAGGTGCTTAGTCTCTGCTCGGATAGGCTGGGCTTAATTGTTAGGACACTCTTACTCCTCCCTGGCTCCTCCCTAGCGTCCCCCAGTTTTGGCAAAGATGAGGTGATGCACCCCCCGCCCTCTTGACTCTCTTGCTTGTTTGTGGTTACTACTACTACTACTACTATTATTATTATTATCATTATTAATGGCACTATGAGCCTTGTGGACATGAATGCATCCGGATCGCAAAAAGGTGATCTGCAGAGCAGAGACTAAGCACCTCCCACTCTCCAGATGCTTGGCGCAGCTTAATGGAGAACACAGAGATGAAAGTAGAAAGTCTCTTAAATGACAAGGTATACATTTGGAGAAAACATTCTGCTCTTATTAAGGTGTTCATTTATAAGCACCTGATTTTAAAAATTATTCACTTTAAATAATGCTATATGACTGGGGTCCCCAATCCCCGGTCTACGGTCATGGCCTGTTCAGAACTGGGCCACTGAAACATGCTGAAACACTGGTAAGCATGCACAATGGGCTGGTGAGTGTGTGCACAGCTCCATTTGTGCAAGTGACAAGAAAACAGTTTTGGCTGAAAAAGTACAAAGCAATAGAGGCATCAAAATCTTGTAATATATTGACTAAAATTATTCACTCATTATAGTAATGATGTTATCCATAAACACTATCTTTATCTGAACATCATTTTGGGAGGAAATACTGAATATGAATGTTTACAATTTTTGCATATTTCTTCTTAAAGTCAAATATGTATTTGCATGTTATAAGGATATGCACATACTGCTTTCAGTGTTTACTTTTGTTTTTAATCATTGCTTTATTTTTCATTTTAATATTGTATTTCTTAGTGTTTAATATACCAAAACAAAAAATTGTCTCTGTATTTCCTGTAAAACAAGGTACTGTAAGAAAAATCTAAACGATGGATGAATTTTTTATTCATTTATTTATTTTTTATCCTGCCTTTAACCCTAATCCAAGGCTACAAACATACATGAAACTCTTTTCTCCTATTTCTCCACAACAACAATTTTGTAAGGTGGGTTGGGCTGAGAGACAGAATGATTGGCCCCAAGGTCACCTCGCCAGCTTTCATGTCTAAGGTGAACAAGAACTCACAGTCTCCTGGTTTCTAGATCAGCACCTTAACCACTACACCAAACTGACTAATAGTCTATTAGAACATATTTTAAAAAGAGAAAATCCCTCATTAGTTGCAATTATTGTGAACTAGTGCATTTTGCACACATACCTTTTGACCTCCTGGCGTTTCTGCCCCATGTTGCTCTTTCAGCTTCTGCTCCTGTTCCATTATATCCTTTAAATGTTCATTTGCCTAAAAGGGCAAAGGAAATTAGACTTTAAATAAATTTTGCTTTCTTGCTGAGATACAAATAATAGTCTACTTAGTATAATTATTCTACTGTGGGCAATTTTGAAACAGTGCAGCCAAGGCTTTAAAAATTGTTTACAATACAAGTCCCTCTTCTTTTCTTGTTCTTCTCCCAGTGTACAACTGAATCTCAAGAGGCCAAATGGGTTTAATCTCTAAAGCCTTAAAGTGCTGGAGCTTAGCAATACTTAGAAGTGACACTGAAATTGCATAGACACTCTAAGACAGACTTTTCCCTATCTAATAATTGTTAAGACTTCTACTCCTTTCATTCTTAGCTGGTATTTCCATCAGCTGTGTTATTGATTAAGGCAGATGAAGTCCAACACATGTGTCCCCCCAAGGCTGAAGATATAGTCTTTTTAGTATTGTCTTTGCACCACAGTAAAACGTGCAATATATATGCACTGTTTTCCTATGCATGGAACTTGGCTCACTAATGCACTGATTCATGAAATCAATAGACACCTATTTAATAATTTGTTTCCATACTAGCTGTTTATGCCATCTTAAGGATTTGGTAGGGAAAAAAAGAGTAACATGTACTTTAGCACAGTGTCAATTTGACTGTAACAAAACCAGAACCTGCACAACAGTTGAATTTATTTAGGATCTGCTAACAAGTTGACAACAGATGGAAAAAAGAATGAAAGCAGGCTAGGTAGGCTATTTTTATTTATTTGTACAATAAATAAATGATGGTTTTACCATCATTTAGCACAGCTAGCATAGCACTCTTCAGAGCTGCAGGATGGGATTGCTAGATGATATCAACAGTGTCTTCCCAATTCTAACAGTGAAAGCATTATTGAGTTGAGGGGTCCTTGGTGCTGAGTTTGGTTGTTTTCTTGCCGATGTTTCATTACCCAAACTAGGCAACATCATTAATGCTAGGACTAAGCTCAGAGAGCACCAAGGGACCCTCATTTCAACCCTGAGCTACAAATATTCTTCATTATTGGTACCATTATTGAGTTGCATCAACACCTCAGCAACCTGAGAACAATTGTGCATTATGACTGCCAAACATACTTATTACTTCTGTGTTCAAACTATAGGATCGCATTAAGGCTTGTTTTAAGAAATTATGGTCATAATTTGTTCCTGGGGAAAAATCAGGAACTACCCTAGCTAAGTAGTTTGTGAATATATCCAATAGATTATTAACAACTTTATTTTGTTAGTATCACAATGGTTGAAATGAATAATTTTCCAAATTAGCAAAAATGAGCAGTAATATTTGTGCAAACTCTTTCTTTCCCCCAGTATACAGCTTTGAATTTTGGCTTAAAGCTATAGGTTAGCATTAAAATATTGCAAAGAAATATCAAAGCTTACTGTCCAAGAGTATAGTATTTAGAAATCTGGCAAACTGAGCTTGAGGCATACATTAGTTGGCATTATTTTTGTTGAGTTAGAAATTGAAAGGAGACTGAAAGCAGTCAAATAACAGACAAGTGCATCATTTATTTCCTTCCTTTAAAAAACACTGTGATGGTTAAATGAAATGCTTACCTTATTTATCCAGAACATGACCGCATCTTCTATGTCATAGGGCAGGTCTGTAGCTTGGAAGAAGGAGGAATACTGCTGTATGCATGCAATAACTTTTTCCACACTGATCATTTCTACAGTATATGCCATCATTAAGGTGTCAATCATAGCCAAATGAGCACTCTGCAAAGATAATAATGTTTTTCATTAACAGGTGGAATACCAACATAGAAGAAGCCAGAATAATTTATTTTCAAAAGGAATCAGACAACTGAAGTACAAAATAAATAAGTTTTACAAAACATTGAATCAAATGGGAATTAAACATTGTAACAGAATAAGCAACTTCTTCTGAAAAATTTTCATGATTTAATATTGTACAGATGTTTACTTCCAGAAACAAAGGTTGTGTATTGGGTAGCCCTCTATCCTTGAATATATAATAGAAAATTTAAAACTTAAGTCCTCCTATGTCCAGTTATCCATTTTATAGTCTTAGAATTATTTACTTAGTTATCTAAAAGATGCATATTAATCTTAAATGACCCAACTCTCAGTAGCTCATACCAGCAGCAAAACTAAACACAATGAAAACAAAAACCTGACACTACAATCCTTATTTTTAAAATTCAACGAACAACACCATCTTCAGGTTCCAACTACATCCTCCTCCAGCACTTCCCCAAAACTGAGAAAGTGGGGGCTTGCTAGATCTCAGGGAAGAGTGCTCCAAAAAAGGGCAGAGGGTGCCACAAAAAAGGAAGACCCCACTAGATGGCAGTATTTCAGAGAGGGACCTTGGAACGTACACTTTCAATCCAATATGGCAGAATGGACAGATACTCTCAGGGAGAAATGGGCCCAGAACTAACCTGGTCCCATGCCATGAAGAGCTTTCAAGATGATGACCAGCATACTGAATTGCACACAGAAAAAAACCTGAAAGTCAGTGCACTCATTTTTCCTATCACCATCCATGTTAATCCTTGCACAGAACACTCATATTTTAGAACAATGCTGAAGACTTTTAGTGGTTGAAAAGGGAAGAGATAAATAAATATTGGTAAAAAACACCTTCCTCATTCTATGGAAATACTGAGTTTACAGAGCAGAAATCTTTGAGATCCAAGTGATTTTTGTATTTCCTTTTATTTGTAACAACAGGATTGGATCTTGCCAATTATAAATGCATCAAGTAAAAAAAAAAATAGAGACAAGCCATTTAAAAAACAATGCCCAAGCAAAGCAAACTTAAACAATGAGAAGATGTTACTTTTATTGCCCTTCTAATTCTTCTGCTAGAATTCTAATATTTGCTCACATTTATCTACCATGAGCTTCAGGTCAGAAAGTTAACAAGGGATGAATTGATGGAAGTATTTCCATGGGGTAGAAATCTGCTTTCATACACAACAAATTCCACCTGGAGATATGGCAATATCAGATGAAACTTAGCAATTTCTTTTTTTCTTTTCTCCAGAAAAAAAGGAAAATAAAGCATGGTCTAATAAAGTTAGTCTTTTTCCACTCTACCATTAGACAGCTAGAAAGCAATAGAAAGATACTGTGAGACACTATGGCTAGTGAAATTATATTGCGAATTCAAGTTTGTTATTATAAGAGAAAACTCAAGGTTAATATACAGCAGGGATGTCAAACTCAAGGCTTCCAGCCTGCGGGACCAGCCTGGAAACAATGAAGGACTGGCCCGCAGGTGGCCCTCCCGAGCTCCATTTTCTCTAGCAGAAGGCTGTCGCAGCTGAAAGCAGAGCTCGGGAGCCTGTTTTCGCTGGCAGAGTGCTCAGGCCACAGGTGCCCCCAACACAAATAACGTTGATCTGGCCACCCTAGCATGCCCACCCCAGCCCCTTGAGGTCGAACACAACCCTGATGTGGCCCTCAATGAAATGGAGTTTAACACCCCTGGTATACAGCTTTACTCTTTTATGGTCATCCAAATGGTCACTTACTATTTGCTATAAAAGTAAGGTCCCCCCCCCTTGTATTCTTTGAAAATCTGCCAAATTGATACTGAAATGTAATATTTCTTTCTTCTCTTTTCTTTTTCCACTTGCTCATTCTGTGTCTATGTGTGTGTATCAAAACGTATATGCAGCATGACATGGATAAAGAAATGGAATTAGCATGCTCAAGTGCCCAATGTCATATTAGTCATATCCAAGTCAGAAAATACACAGTTGCCCCTTCCTGTGTTTTATGCAAAGCTGCCACAGACAGGTCCTACTGTGCAATTCAAAAGCAGAAACATTTGTACACTTCACAGCTTTCTGTAGAATCCCAAGAAGATTAGAAAAAAACAGCTCGTAGATGCCCAGGTCTAACATATGCGAAAGGAATGTCTGAGGTAATTATTCAAAAGTCACAGTCTTCCTTTCACCTTGGAAAGCTATCTCCATGGAAACTAAGCCAACATTACTCATAGTAACCACAGTTTTTGTAATGTCAAAGGAAACTATAGTGATTCTTTACTTTTTGCTGCAGCATGAATTTTCCTGAACAATTTAACCAGTGACTAATACTAACTTTACTTAATGTAATTAAGGGACAGTTTTATTAAAAGGAGAGTGGATTTTTTGCTGAAAGGATAAGAATTAAATGTCACTATTAAAAGCCACCATTGTTTTGTGCTTTTTTTTTATTTGAGATGATATTACCTGCATTCCAATCTAGAAGGACACAAAACACACACACACACACACACACACACACACACACACACCCCTCCATAACTTAAAAGATATGGACTTGCAGTATCCAGAAAGTTTTCTGGTTGTATCTTACACTGACTTTGAATTTTTGGGTAATTGCAAAGGTCATGTCTGCAAAATTATAGTTTATGACCCAGATCTAAATTGCTTGCCAGCTTAATTCTTAAATCCATTTAAGAAAATGATTTTAATCTTTAACTCCATAAATAGCTTAGGGCTTTCTGATGACCATGTCATTAAGGCTACTGTATATGGGTTGCAAAAATCTGAATAATGGGTACAAAACTGCATTCTAGGGGTCATCTGGATTTTTCTAACCTAACTAGTGTAGCTCTTTCTCTCATTTTTGGAGTAAGAACACTCCACAATTATTATGGACCACAGGTAGTAAATACAAGTAGTCCTTGACTTACAACAGTGCATTTAGTGACTGTTCAAAGTTACATGGCCCTGAAAAAAGTGACTTATGACCATTTTTCTTACTTACAATAGTTGCAGCATTCTCATGGTCATGTGATCAAAATTCAGATGCTTAGCAACTCATATTTATGATGGTTGTGATGTCCCGGGGTTGTGTGATCACCTTTTGCGAACTTCTGATGAGCAAAGTCAATGGGGAAGCCAGATTCATTTAACAACTGTGGCTAGAAAGGCCATAAAATGGAGCCAAACTTACAAAACAACTGTCTCACTTAGCAACAGAAATTTTATGAGCAAAAGTCATAAGTCAAGGATTACTTGCATCAAAATATTTGTGACCAATTTTTAAGTTAAAGTTTATAATTTTATGAACTTTTTATTTATTTTTAGTTCAATTCATCAAATGACAAAATATTAAAACATTCTGATACCTTGATTCATTCCCTTAAAGTACAGTGCGATGTTTGTTTCTTAGAAATAATTCCCTCTGAATTTAGTGGGAGAAAGAGGTATACAAATTGGCACACGGCTTCAGACATAGAAATTCTAAGCTCATTTTGTTAAATAAACCCTGACCCCACCTGAGTCTACAAGACAAGTTTCACTGACAAAACTTAGTATTAAATTTACTTAAAATCAGTATTTTAAATGCCAGCTACAATAATAAGAGTATAATCAATAAATATGGCCTTATTGGTTATTTAGGCATTTAGAAATCTTTTAAGTTTATAAAAAATACTGTTTATATGACTGAGGACAACATATTTGGTTTTATTCATCGATTGAAGGGATTAAAAAAATAGTAACCGAGCTAGGCAGCTTTTTATTCAAGCTTGTTTCTTACTACTTTTCCCTAAAAATAGATTGGTAAGGAACATGACGATAATATGAAGTTCCACATGTACAATTGCATTAAATACATGAAATGAGGATCCATGAGAAAGCAATCTCTTTTGATCAAGGGATTTCTCATTACCTACATATCATTATGGGGACGTGGTGGCTCAGTGGCTAAGACGCTGAGCTTGTCAATCAGAAAGGTCAGCAGTTCAGCGGTTCTAATCCCTAGCACCGCGTAACAGTGATCTCCCATTATTTGTCCCAGCTTCTGCCAACCTAGCAACCTAGCAGTTCAAAAGCATGTACAAATGCAAGTAGAAAAATAGGGACCACTTTGGTGGGAAGCTAACAGCGCTCGGTGTGCCTTCGGCATTTAGTTATGCTGGCCACATAACCACGGAGATGTCTTTGGACAGCACTGGCTCTTCGGCTTTGTAACGGAGATGAGCATTGCCCTCTAGAGCCAGAAATAATTAGCACATATGTGCTAGGGGAACCTTTACCTTACATATCATTAATGTCTATTTCTTGTGTTCATTTTGGTCTTGTTTGATTTAAGTTCCTATTTATAAAATATCCTTTGAAAAGATTGGATGTTAGAGTCCAGACTTCTTCTGAAGTCAAGGAACAGTTTTCAGTGGACTTCCTCCATCCTTCCTTGATTCTGTGGATTTCCTCCATAGAATCAATACAAATCTCATGCCATAGGACAAAACCTATGAGTTCCACCAGTAAACACTACATAGATATATCACTATGCAGGCGTATAACTGCAATTATACGTTCTAGACTTTATTAATGAACACTAACTTAGCATACAGACAGAGTGTTGTTTTGAATAGCTGTAGGCTATACATAGAACATAGAATCAAAAGGCTGAAAAGGACCTCTGAGTTCTTCTGGTCCAACCCTCTGAACAATTCAGGAGTCTTACACCATGCCAGTCAAATGGTTGTCTAGTTACTGAACGCTCTATTTTTGAAAACATCCAGTGAGCATCCAGAACTTTGGGAGGCAAGTTATTCCATTGATTAATCGTTCTCACTGTCAGAAAATTTCTCCTTACTTCTAGGTTGAATCTCTCTTTAACAAGCTTTCACCCATTACTTCTTGTTTTGCCCTTGGGTGTTTTGAAGAATAAGTCAATCCTGTCTTCTTGTGACAGCCCCTCAAGTACTGGAGGACAGTAATTAA